AGTAGAATCATTGTGCACAAAAGAATTAAATTGCCTTGTCACTTTAATAAGGCCACCTTATATACACCCTTCAGCCAGTGCCATTGTGCAAAGAAAGAGTTCGTCCTTTGCCTCAGCTGCCTTAGATCTCAGTGGGACTTTCCAATTAAATGAACATCCTCTGCGTCTTTTGCTCCATTCTGCCTGCCTGCAAAGAGAGGTAGGAAAAGCAGAACATCCTTGGCGGAAATCTTGTGATCAGTGGCATGCACTTATCAACATGTATTAGCATTCCTCACCTTATTCTCTCTATCTTTGTTGTGGTTGCTGGCGGTGCTGGCAACCTTTTAACTCATGCAACTCATTATCAAAACATGAGAGAAACACTTGCGTATGATCCGTGGTAGATTCTGTCCTGTTTGAGCAAAAGTATTTGCATCTTGGGCAGGCAGTGTGAATAGTGGAAAGTACTCCCTAGCCCATCACTTGTCTGATCAAGCAGAATCCCGGAAGCGGGGGGGGAGGGAAGGAGAGAATACGAACAACATTGTGCATTGTTTTCCTTTGTGTCCCTTTCATTATAATCTCAACACTTTCTTTCTTTTCTTTCTTTCTTTCTTTCTTCCTTTTTGCAAGCTTTCCCTCAATGACTGCCTGTCTAAGTGGGTTTTTTTAATGGATTGTTGAACCTTGCCACTTTGAATGCGTTTTTTGTGTTGGTTTTTTTTAATGATTTTTTTTGGAGTGGTATTTGTTTGACCCTTTTTAGTATTTATATACTTATTGTTTTTAGCTTTAAATCATGTCTTTCAATGATGTAAGCTGCCTTGGGCCCTTTTTAAAGAGAAAAGTGGGGTAAAAATATTTTCAATACACAGGAAACACATTCTTCCTTTCTTTTGGTCAGCCAGACTAATATCTTCAACACTTTCGTCCTTAAAAAGGTTAGTCTTCTACTTGCTGTTCCACATTTCAAAAATAATCGTTCGTTTCTTGATTTCCCAGCCCACACTGTTACACATTGAATGAAAAGGTATGTTGAAAGAACATGTGTTTCCCCCTCCTTCTTTTTCTCAGTGAGGCAGGAAAAGGAAGTGGGGTGGGAGGGGAAAGATTGACAGTTAGCATAGCTTTGATAGTTTCCTGAAATATACAAGGGAGCATAGTTAAGAGAATGGGAGGGAGGGAGGAAAACTACCTGGTGGGAAAGCCACAATGAATAGAATTACTGCTACCAACATTTCAAGTTTCAGTCACCAAAATGTTAATATAAAATGACCTTTTTCCTGAAGAGTGTTCTGAGGAGACAAAAAAAAAATCATTTCTATAAAATGGTTACTATAGAGATTTTTTTAAAAAGACTGAGGGTGGAAATTGATGTATATTTGCAGTCAGCTAGTGACTGTAACAACCAATGGGCTTGATAAAGCAACACTTTGAATTTAATTCTAAGGAAGAAAGATACCATACTTGAGATAGCAGGGAAGAAAAGAAGCTATTCAAAAAGAGGGACAAAAGGGACCTTTGCCAACATTTTTGACGAACTAAGAAGCATTTTGCTTGAAAAGAATGTTCTTGCACATAATAGCAGCCAGCTTTCTTCCTACCTATGATTTCACCATATATACAGGAACAATAAAGCGCTAAGCACTATGATTCCCAGATTGTATATGTAAGGAAATACTTCTGTGCTATGAAGGAGCTGATAAGAAAGAGTTCTTCACCTATCATGGAAGATGAACCCAACCGTCTTGTCCCTTGGAGCAGAAAGCCCCCATGGACATATTGACACATTGTCATGGGTCATCACTTGCGTCTCCATTTCTGCCAACATAGAACAGACCCATCTCCCAAAGGGAAGGAGCCAAGGTGACAACAGACACCTTGAAATATAGCTGGCCCTAAGACTCACAAGTGCAGAGAAATGACAGAATATGACCATGAGAACTGTGCACCAGATCTGGGAAAAAAAGCCCAAATTCTGAGCTGATTCTGACTTATTAGTGTGAGATCCAGATCAAAATGGGAGAACTAGATTCAGTTCTGGGCAAAGTGAAGTGAATATGCAGATCAGTTTATTTCTGGAGTGCAGATTGAAGCAGGTGGGGCACATGCTGCTCAGGATAGAATCAAGATGCATTCCAAAGCCCTGAAAAGGCCTCAGAGTTGGATCAGGGGACCCATGCGCAGCACTAGTCACTGCCGCTTCCCTAAGGTCATGGTTCGATCCCAATGAAGCAGGCTGCCATTCAGTTCCTGATGAAGACACCTTCTCTTCCACTCCTTCCAAGTTGCTAAGTAACAGCTTGAGAAAGGTGCCATCGGCTGAACCTGAAAAGAGAGCAGGAATCCAGTAGAAAGTTTTCAGCTGATGTTAGAGAGGTCCAGAAACCTCAATACAAAGTAGAACAAGGCAAATACGGATCTCTGAGCTTCAGAAGAACCTGTATGAGAGGTGCCCAGATTGAATGTAGCCCTTCCAGTGGAGGTAAATAAACACGTGTTGGCAAGGAGCAAGCTTTACTCATGATTTTACAGAATGATGGCGAGAGCTTTGGGAATGATTTTTTTTAAAAAACCATCTCCCAGAATCCCCCAGCCAGTGTGGCCATTGGTGATGTGCTTAAGTAAAAAAAATACTGAAACGTGCTCTGGTTTAAGAAAGTGATTTGTACAGGACAGAGAAAAGAGGCATGGTAGAAACCACCCATCCCTGAAAGAGAGCAGGATGCACAGGACAGGCACACCCATCTTAGGTCAAACAGCCATCTAACTTCAGTGATATGTGGCATTTCAGGACACATTGTATGCGTTCTACTAGATATTGGAACCTGGAGAAGTTTAGAGACATTAAAGTATAGTATTTGGCAAAATAGTCACTGCAGGCCCTCAAATGTCCCAGAACCCAATTAGTGAAGGTAGGTAATCAACATATCTGTGAAGATCTCAGTCATTCAGGTGAGGTTACCTGGAAGTTGAGTCATGGCAACGGGACTCCTTTCTTCTTAGGTTGAAACGTTTTGCTCCTCATCCAAGTAGCTTCTTCAGTCTGAGGAAAGTTGGTAGGAGACCCCTGACATATCCTCCAGGTTAGTTTCACTTCCCCCTGGTCTAAAGAGGCTCATTAGAAGGACAATGAAGGGTGGTGTGTGTAAAATTCCACCTCTGCAGTCCTTCTCCACCCATTATCATGGGTCATTAACAGTTGTTAACAGTGGTCTTTTTTGGTGGGTATGGTCCTGATCTTTCTGGGGACAGATGAAAGGGCAATAGGAGCACCAAGACCACAGAGCTAGCCTGGAAGGTAAGAATGCCATAAGGACATGATCTGAGGAAAAGGAAAGGATAACCACTTTCTTCATGGCAGTTGAAGTTTGAATGACAGCTGGTGGTTAAAGTCTCAGCAGGCAATTTTCGAAGTATTTGCCTCAGCAGAATGAGCACTTCAAGAGAAGTCTGTTATCATTTACAACCGGGGTCTCCAGTCTCTGGTCCATGGCCTAGTACCAGGCCATGGCCTTAGCAGGACCGGACCGTGGAGACAGATCTCCCAGCCCCCTTGCATGCCCCCTCCATGTGCACACACACACACGTACAGCCCCCTGCATGCACACATGGGTGCCCCACCCCCATGCACACACCCACAGGTGCCCCACCCAACCACCCACAGGTGCCCCACCCATCAGCACACAGATCCCGCCCCCCAACCGGTCAACGATTCGGAAAAGGTTGGGGACCACTGATTTACAACACTGACAGGAAAATCTGTCAAAGGAAAAACAGTATCAAGGTTTCAGTGACAGGCCTCTGAATTAACTGGAGTGGAGATTGAGAGAGGAATTGGCTGTTAGCTGATAAGACGTAGAAGAACTATGCTTTCATGGCTGATCTTTAATGGTAATGATAACAGTTATTTTAAATCCTGTAGAGCATTTGTAATTTTGTAATTCAATTTTGTAATTCATTGTTAAATAAATAGCATGTTTGTTTTTTTAAAAAATTAACATTGCTCAAGCTCTCACTCCCATATGCGTATGTAAGAATAATTAAAATAAAAGGGTATAAGGGACATTATGGCAGCGGAATAGCTTTTTAAACAAGGTGGAATAATTTACAACAGGGCTAAACACTTTCCCTACAATCCTCCACATTCCTTCCTTCCATCTGTTACCAATGTCTCTTTTGAAGCTCACACTATTCATTCGTTTTAAAAAATGTTACCCTGCCTGTTTGGAAGAAGTGCTCCAAAAGTGGCAAAAGACATCACTTTGCCACAAGAGCTACTTATCTTGTATTTAGCATGCTTTGTTTTGTGATTGCTCATTGGAGCTTAGATTTGCAAGTCTGATTGCTGGAGGCTGCTCCTCTGAAGAAATCCCAGTGTCAGAGAGAAAATAGGCTGACCATGAGGCCTATGCCTTCTCCTCAAAGTCTAGTTTGACCCTCAGTCTCAGCTCACTGTGGCTCCATATGCAGCCAGACCGACTTCTTCAGTCGCCTTTCATTTCTCCTCCTGATGAATACAGTTTGATATTGGGCTTCCAGTATTTCATTTTTCAGGATTTCCCATCTCTCTTGATTTTAAGTTCTGGGATTCTACTCAGATTTTCTCAAAGTTTTTTTTTAAATTCAAAAATATATTGGACATTAGCAGGATAGTTGACATGCCTCCACTTTAGTACTACAGCTTACCTCCATGAAACTTTTATCATCTCTTTTAGATGATTCCCGTCACATGTGGGGGAAAATAATCTTTTGTTTACTCCCTCTTCACCCAAACCTCTCTCTTATCTTAAAGTTTAGATAAATTGCAGTTGTCTGAATAGGAAGTTGTAGAATTGCATTTTTATTGTCACATAAAGAACAAACTGGATATTTCATAGGATATTTTCTGTTTTAATGAGGTATTAACTTTATTTTGTAGAAAGTTATGATTCCCTAAGAAGATGCTCCTGAAAAAATACTTGGATTCTGAACAATGAGCATTTTCACAGAAGACTCTCTTGCTTTCGCAGGTTTGTCACAGGGATGTAAAATCTGCATTGGTCAATATGGTCACTGCTTCCATGGTGGAAACTACACTGTACAAAGGCACCTTTCTGAATGAACAATAGGCACCCCCACTTTCCAGACAGTGCAACATTAGTACCAAACACTGATGAGCTTGTTGCCTTCTCAGACTACAGTTTGGCCACAGGTAATAGAAGACACTGATCCCACAGACAGAGTTCCACTGTGACTCTCAGTAGAAGGTTCCATCTAAGTGGTAACAGTCCCTCCCTCAACTGAGGGATCCCAAATGCATTGAAGGGGGAAGAAAGCTGACACAACGGCACTGGAGAAGCACCTTGCTGGCAGCACCCCCTCACTTTCTCCCTTTTTCTTTTTCACTTACACCTACTTAGGGACAATGGCAGCTGGATCCTTAGATGAGATCTGCACAAAATGTCAGGTGGACAGAAGGCTGTCTTCCCCCACACATTGGTTTTAACCAGTGCATTTATTTAGTGACTGTCATTCACGAATAAACTTGTGGTTGATTGAAATCCAACTTCGGCATCTGCTTCTTTCTTGACTTTCTGCAATTCCAGTGAAAGTTAAAGAGAGTAATGTGGAAGAAAATGGCAAGCTTTAAAATAAATCCTACAGTATGTAGAGCATGAGAAGATACCTCCTCTTCCAATACTTTGAATACAGTTCTTTACATTTTCCTCAGTATGTATTTTGAGCATCATCTCCTGAAAAAATGTATCTACGTATCTACGTATGTACGTACGTATGTACGTACAGAGGGATGGATGGATGGATGGAGGGACGGACGGACAGACAGACAGACAGACAGACAGATAGATAGATAGATAGATAGATATGTGTGTGTGCGCACACACACACATATACACATATACATATACCATATACAAATATACATATACATATATATACACACACTATATATACACACGCGCGCGCACACACACACACACACACACACACATATATATACAGTATGTCATGAAGTATTTATAGTTTTAATCCACCCTACTCAGAGATGATTGAAATTGATTCTGGGACCTGCTTTGTGCTGTAACACTGCTGTAACACTGAGATAAACCTCTTTCCACATCTGTAGAGTGGACAATGCAATACCACTGCTACAAGGAGACCTGGCATGTTGGGCGGTGTAGACATTCTGCGAAAGTTCACCTGCATGCTGCAAGGTACCTTTGCACATTATAGCCATATGGGGTGGTTTGGAGAGAAAGAACATGCAGCAATTAATGGTGCTTTCCCTTACAGTGGACCCTCTACTTACGGAATTAATCCGTATTGGAACGGTGGCTGCAGGTCGAAAAGTCTGTAGGTCGAGTCTCCGTTGACCTACAATGCATTGAAAACCGATTAATCCCATAACCAGCCATTTTTGTTCTATTTTTGTTCCATTTTGTGGTGTGTGTTTTTTGTTTTTTGTTTTGTTTTTTGTCTTTTTTTTGGTCTATAGGTCGATTCTCCGGCTCCAAGTCGAATCTAAATTTTGCTGCCAGAGAAGTCTGTAACTCGAAAAGTCTGTAAGTCGAGCCGTCTGCAAGTCGAGGGTCCACTGTACTATATCATTCCTCTACAGCACTGGTTCTTAACCTTGGGTTACTCAGGTTATTTGAGCAGTTATTAGGAGGGCAAATTCAGCCTGGTCTAATTTGGAGGGAGACTACCATACCCCACTTTATTTCCTTCCTTCCTTTTTTGAGCACTGTGGAAGATTCCAGATAACTTGCACCAGAAGGGAGTGCCTACGAAGTTCCCAGCTGCTCTGGAAACCACTGCTCAGCTTTTATAAAATCCACTCAGATGGGAAACAATACAGTTGAGTCCAAGCCAAGCAATCAGGCCATAGAGGATAACAGGAACTGTTCGCCTTTCCAGAGACATATGGCCGATGCAAATGAACTTGAGGGTGAGAATTCTTCCCCTTGGCTCTGAATTCTAAGCTTTCTCTTGGCTCTAGATTTTTCAGTGCCTCAGGTTCCTGGCAGAACTTGAGACACTGAAGATAGCAGATGGAAGGCAGCTGAGGCATTTGCTCAGCAATGATTTCATAAACGATGATCACAAATTTTACAGCCTACATATTTCTTTAAAAATTGTATTTAAAAGCAGCAAAGGCCATCAGAAATCAAACAATCAGCAACAGAGGGGAAAAACCAGATACAGAGTGACAGTAAACAAAAACTAAAGTAGTAGTAGTAACGTATACACACAAACACACATACTGCTTTGCTATTTAACAGATATTTAGGTTAAGATTTGTATCTGTTATATAATACCAGTCAATATTTTATAATTTTGATTGACTGATATATTATTATTTGAAGAGTAACAAAACGACAATGACGACAACAGAGTTGGTAGTCTCTGGAAGATATGTTTGAAAAGCAAGTAGAGAAAGAACTTGGGAGATGTGGTCAGTGGTATGACTTTACAATGAAGCTGGGAGAAGGCCAGGTTACCAGGGCACTAGCTCCAAACCATGCCTAACATATCACTAACCTACAAGCTGGAGAACCTTTTAAGTAGGAGACATTTTTTAAAAGAGCACTGTTCTTGGTAGTCCTTCAAATAAAAGACTACCGTAAAAAGAGGACACTCTGGCAGAAGTAACCGTTCGGCAGACACTCCAAGATCTTTATTGTGGATATTTTCCTAACAAGTGTGTGGTGTATAGAAAGAAAGATAAATGTGTATATCCTCTTCATCCTGCACATACATGCACCGACTTAGACACTTAGAATGCTTTTGGGGGTTTTGAGTTAGGAGTATATCTATAGGCAGATATGGTACTTTTTGATTTTTTGGGACTGCAACCCTCAGAATTCACCAGGAATTCATCTAGCCAGAATTCTAGGAGTTGCAACCCCAAAAATCAAAATCCACATCGCTATGTTTATTGTTGACACATGCCTTTCATGGGCCTCTGGAGCCATCACTGCCCCTGAAGAAGGAAGTAATGGCTGGGCATGCCAATTTTTTTTTTTTTGAGACACAAGTTTTATTGAGCCTAATGGAAAGAGTGCTATCTATCCCATAATCCCTTGCAGTCACCATGGAGCTTTGCCATGCCAGCTATTTCCTTCTTCTTCAGAGGCAATGATGGCTCCAGAGGCTCATGGAAACCCGCATGTAAGCAATGAGCACAGCTGTGAGGACTTTGATTTTGTTTTTTTAATTTTTTGGGCTACAGGTTCCAGAATTCTGGCTGTAGAGATTCCTGGTGAATTCTGGGAGTTGCAGTCCACAAAAAACTCCAAAAAAGTGCCGCGCCTATTTGTCGGTACATGTTTAGAACTATGTGGCTTGGATTACCTATATTGAATAAATCAGAGATGAACAACAAGTGGTAGGTTAATTAACTTTGGTAGAAATTCTTACTTTATATTAGTGAGCTAGTATTCATCTTCTTGAGACTCAGTAGAACTGCTACCTGTTTCAGATGATGCACTTTCTTCCTTTCTCTTTTTCTTTTTTTTGACAGCAGGCAACTTCTTTCTACCTATACAACTACATTGACATTTTATGATTTAACAGGCTGGATTTATCAAGATTAGGCACCTACAAGTCCCGTCTCACCCTAGTGCTTTTTCTCTTTTGTTCCCACACCCCTTTTTCCTCCATCCATCCCAGCACTCACTCCTCCCTCCCCCAGAAATGGTGTTTCCTATTTGAAGTTCGGAGATACAAATCCTTCTAATAATTACAGTTTAAAAATGGTATTTTCATTCCTTTTTGCATCATAGCGTATTATTGCCCGGGCCAGTTATACAACAGTACCATTGCAGATTGAGCTACCAAAATATACCAATTATGCAAAATGGTTACTGCTTTACACATGGGTAAGCTCCATTGTTTCCAGTAACCTCAAGCTAGAAATCTATTGGAGGATGGTGGAGTGAAATACAGCAGGAAGTACTATGTGTTTCTGATGGGCTCATTCACATTTTTCCCATTTATCACATGATACAAAGGGAAATGTGAACCATCCTAGAGTCATCCCCCTCAAATCCAAAGTTTCTCCTCTTTGCCTCTAGGGCTTCTACGTTGTTGTTTTTAAAATAGATCAAATCACATCAGTTCAGACAAGTAATCACTTGAACTAATAAGAAAGGAAAAGCCAGATGCACCCATACATAAAGTGGTGCTTTGCTGCTTCAGGCACCTTCTCTATTGCCTCCTACCTCATGAGGGAAAGATGAACCACACACACACAAAGGAGCAAAGCTGCCACACCAAAACATTGTCTCCAGTAAAATCCCTCTCCATGGAAAAGGCTCTTCCTTTTTCTTTCTTCTTTTCTCTTTTTTTACATATTAAGAATGGAGTTTCTGTCTGTCAAGAAGAGTTTTCTTCTTTTTTTGAAAAAGTTGACAAGATGTTGAAGAAGGAAAGCCTTATGACAGCTTGTTGAGGCAGTGCCTTTTAACTGCACCCTCCTACAGGGTTTCAGCAGTGCTGCAAGCAAGGTTTTTCTTCTATCTCTCTATGTGGCCACTTGAATTGAACATACCTGATTTCCACATTGCAATTTTACAGTGAGTGGAGGCAAGAGAATTCACAGCTTCCTCTCTGTGTAGTTGTGTCCTTAGGTAATTTGTGGTTGCTATCTAGCTTTCCATTTAATCTTTTTAGTGAAAAGACTGATATTATCAACTGGAATATCATCAACCTTAGTTCTAGCACCCTCATTCAGAGGTCTGTAAGAAGCTAGAAGTGGTGAATGTAGTGTTAATGAGGACATCAAGAATTTAGAAGATGTGTGAGCAGATAGTTTAATTTGCTTGTGATCTTTAATTTGCTTGTGATCTTCTACAGAGGAGAAGGAACAAGGACATGGGGTCAGAGAGAATTTATCACCTTTATGATCTTCTACAGAGGAGAAGGAACAAGGAGTGCCACTCTGCACTAGCTGGAGAGTGCACAGCTAACTCTGGATCCTTTCAGATGGCCACTCTTGCTTGTATTTGAGTTGCAGGCAGTTAACCACCCAGATCAGAAGATCAGAATGGGAATGGAACATTTATGATGTTAGGACAGATGACTGGTTTGCTACTAAGAGGTCTGGTGAAGACAAGGACATTTGAACAACGAGGGGAGTATAACCTGTGTCAGAATCATACTCCAGGGGAGAATGTTTAGAATGGAGCAAACAGGATGTGAGTTAAACCCAATGTTGAAGGTGGAGTTTTGACCTGAACCACTGCTGTCAACCGTAATAAGATTGTACAAGGCCATTTGTGATACTGACAAAATTGGAATTGGTTGTAAAGTGGAGAGCAGTGGCAACAAAGGAAGTGCAGATAAAACGAAAGACTTTGAGATCATCAGTGCCAATCATAATGAGGTGGAGAGTGCTGATACTATCATTGAGTAATTATCCAAATACTGATATAGATAACAAGAGAGTTGGAAATGGCAACAATAATTTGGGTGTCAGGAGGTATGATAAAAATATTGGGATAATAACAATCTTGCATGCCTGGGTATCAGTGGGAGGGGCGTTTTCAAACTTAAGGTGGTTGTGTTTCACCACTAACTTGATTGGTGGAGTTCTTTGCCTGCTTGAGGCAAGCCCCTCCCCCCTCTTTGTTTGCTTGGCTTCCATTGTTTTGTCGATAGTTCTCCCTTACTCTCTGACCTTCAGCCACATAGCAGACACACAGTATGTCTCTCTCCCATGTGTTGGAGACTCCATCCACTCCACTCCCCGATTTTAAATACAGAGGGTAACTGCATGTGAAGATACCTTTTTCTGCTTTAAATGCTTCTAAAATTATTTCCTATGACATAAAGTGCTAGTCATTGTGAAAGGGGGTGTATTGCTGAGACTTGGGCTATTCTCTCATATTTCTTTGCTGCTGGGGTTTGTTTTGTTTTGTTTTTATACCTCATATTCTTCTAACTTGAAAGGAATAACAAAAATCCTTCCCTCAAGAAATAACCCCTCTCTTCAAAGGCTATTTTGAGGAATGAACAATACAAGAATGAAAAATGATCTGTTTCAAGGAGCATAGCGATCAGTTGGGGTAGCTCTGCAAGTACAAATTGTGCTCAGTGCCCCCCAATAGTTCAAACGAAACCAAACTTCCCTGTATTTCTCCTTCTGAAACCAAACAATATGGTTTTCAGAAGGTACAAGCTGCAGTGTTGGAGCTGGCAGGGATCAGTCTGAGCCGAAAACCTCTGAAGAGGAAATGATCTAAAACATTAGCAACCAAATCATGTGGTAGCAAGGGCTTACTATGGCTTATGGTTTATCTTTTGCTTGTTTGTTCGTTTTGTTTGAGGTTTGTTTCGATTTCTTGTCCTTGTGGATTTTGCCTGAATCTGAAGAACGCTTGTAAGTCAAAGATAGTACTGACATTGATGTTGGCCCAAAACCATCAAGGTTGTAGTGGAGAGAGACACTGGGAACAGAGGGCGAAGAATCTTGGAGACTCCAGTTGACCAGCAGCAAATGGGACATCTTCTAAGGATTAGCAACCAAAGGAATAGCTTTGAGAAGAATCCTGGAGACTCCCGTTGACCAGCAAATGGGACATCTTTTAAGGATTAGCAACCAAAGGAATAGCTTTGCTTAGGAGATGGTGTTTTACTTGCCTATTGTGATTTTGTTTCATTTGAGGGGAGAAACATTGAGAAATCCTTCCGTCACTGAAAGTTTGCTTCTTGTCAAGACAGAAGAGACAATTTGTACATCCCTTAGTGAGAATAATTTTCCCTCCATGCTTGCAACAATGCTTGAAGAAGACCTCAAGAAAAGCATGGATAGAAGCCAGGAAAAAGGGAAAAGGAAATATGTATAATTAAGGAAAAGAATGAAGTAAATAACCAACTGGGAGTGAACCTCTCAAAGAAAAGATTCTACAACTTGCTACCACTGTGGCAGACAAAGTAGAATATACTATAATCTTTACATTTATACATAAGCATGCATAAGTGCCTATACCCATATAGTGAACTAAAGCTTCTGTTAGTACCAATTTTAAGAGACATATTGAAATCAGTGGAACTTGTGAATAAGAAGTCCTATTCATTCCATAAGGTTTAATGGATGGCTCTATGAGTTAGATACCTCACTGTGGAGTCAGGCTCTGGGAGTTCAATTCTCCTCCCAGGAGAAAAGCCAGCCTGAAAAGCTTTGGACAAGCAGCATAGACCCAGAGCATTCCAAGAAGAAGGTGATACTAAACCACTTCTGAGTAGTCTACCCAGTAGGATCCTTGTATCCACGGGATCAGTATCCATGGTTTCACTTATCTGCATTCTGAAAATATTCAGGAAGAAAACCTGTTGTTGTTTAGTCGTTAAGTCGTGTCTGACTCTTCATGACCCCCGTAGACCAGAGCATGCCAGGCCCTCCTGTCTTCCACTGCCTCCTGGAGCTTGGTCAAATTCATGCTGGTAGCTTCGATGACACTGTCCAACCATCTCGTCCTCTGTCATCCCCTTCTCCTCTTGCCTTCACACACACACACAAAACCAAAACACCAAAAACACCCCCCACCTAGAAATATGTATTTTCAGGATATATTTACCAGAACTGGTTACTAGAGGGAGCCAGAGACCACGCTCTGTATTTTTTGTTGAAAAATACATAGCATGGCCTCTGGCTCCCTCTAATAACCAGTTTTGGTAATACAGAGCGAAAACACTTTAAAAATATATATATTTTACCATGCAATGTACAGTATAGTGTTCACCACTATCTGCAGGGGAGGGGCTTGGAACCAATCCTCCATGGATATGAGGTTCCTACTGTACCTTAAAAAACCCTAGAAAAGGGCCTCCAAAATTTGTAATTTACTTGATGGGACATAATTATTATTAATCTAGCTATCATAATTTGGACCCATCACAATTAGACAAAATTCATCAGAGAAGACAATAATCTTGGGGAAAGATAAAGGCATCTGGAAAACAGAAAGACCAAATATGGGAGAAATTGACTTTACACTGAAAGCCAAAGGTTTGACTTTGCAAGAGCTGAGTAGGGCTGCTAAGGACTGGACCTTGTAGAGGTCCCTATAAGTCAGAAGCAACTTTACAGCATATTACAGTACAACAGATCTAGCTGGAGCTAGTTTGGATTTAGATAGGACATGTTGCAATCTCTTGTGTGTACATGAAGCTTGTCTTACATGCTTTCTTTGGTGGATCCAATGGCTGAAAAATTTCCTTTTCTAAATCATCTCATTAGAAACATTTTCTTATGTGTTATTTCTGGATGACCTACAAGGATCCGTGAAAGGCTTGCACAGAGGTGGCTGCATTTATTTACACCATCAACTTACCTCTGCAACAGAAACAAACAGAAGATCCCAAAGAGGAGCCATATCAAGCCAACAAAGGCTTTCATGTATTCTAAAAAATAAAAATGCAACATTCTTCAGACCTTTTAAAGAACAAGATTGTTACATGACTTCATCATAAAATTCAGCTTTGGCAGAAAAGAATAGTAAAGAGGCAATGTTCATGACATGCACTCATTTCTGAAGTAGCCACAGTTTTTTTTGATTTGTGCTATAGTTTCAGATAGATTGGGAAAAGCCCAGATGTTCTGCTGACTGCTCTGGATAAATGTTCCTTCAAATGAAATCAGATAATCTTCTACTGTATAGGGAAGGGACTATGTGTCACTCCTAATCATTTCTTATCAGGCATGCATTTCATTTAAGATTTGTGCAAGAATCGGAGATGTCTCTTTTTCCTGAAATACACAGGTACACAGAGTCTTCTCACTATGGTGAGATGTACTGTATTTCTACTCACAGTACCATTTTCCTGTCCTTGCATCTATGCTTGCATACACATTACCATAAGCAATATTTTCTTCTTGTTGTTTGTTTTCTTGGGGGAGGGTGTTTCCTCCCCCTTTTTTCAGTGATATGTAATTCACCATTTGATACACACACATCTTCCTTTTAAATGTTTCCTCCACAATACCTAAAGGATGTCCTTACAGACGTTGATGGTGCCAGTTAGCTTAGAGTAAGAAAAATGTTAGATGTAGATGCATTGAGGCATGTTTGGGTATAGCATTAAGTAAGGACTGGGAGGGAGGGACAGACAGAGAGAATAGCATCCAACCAACCAACCACCCACTCACCACCCATCCATCCAAGTTGACCAAAATCCCCTCCTTATGGTATATAATCCTATTCCAGGAGAGAGCAAAGGAAAGAAAATGCCTTTCCCCCTTTCCTGCTTTTTAGAGCAGTGGTTGCCAACCTTGTGTCCCCAGATGTTCCTGTACTAAAACTCCCAGCAGCTTTCACCACTAGCTGTGATGGCCAGGATTTCTGGGAGTTGTAGTCCAAAAACATCAGGGGACCCAAGGTTGGCAACCACTGCTCTAGAGTTCAATCCACACACATACAATACATGGACACATCTCTTATGGTGTGTGTATTGGGGGGGAGTTATGCAGCATAAGTCCAGCACTAGCAGCCAGCTTCTAACATTGACACTTTAACATTATATAGTGCAAGAGAAGCATGTCATCAGAAGAGTGAGGGTTTCTTTCTCTTCTAAGCTCTAAACAGAAACATGCCAAGCAGAGACTGGTGATATTCTACACTTTGTTGTGAGACATTACATATGGACACACATACTGTATGTGTTCTAGATTGCATTGTCTCTGGAATGTGCATCTCAAAGAAAGTGGGTGGATTGACTTTCACTCATTTCTCTTACTTTGTAGGGTGGGCGGGCCACTAGAGGGTGCGAAGGAGCTTTTCCAGTTTTTGAAAGACTTTAAAGGGAAAAAATTTGGGGTCTGGACAGGATATGAGAGGGGAGCAGGTGCAGGGGTGGTGCACGTGGCCATCCAACCTGTGACAACTGGTTGCCTGCATTCACCCTTCTATTGCCAACAGTTCTGTGCAAGAGAAATCCAGCTGATGTTTATTTCATTGTTGCAATGTGTCATCAAGTCAGAACCGACTTACAGTGACCCTAACAGAGGTTTCAAGGAAGTGATATATTTAAGGAGTGGTTTTACCAGTTCCACTCCCCCAGTGGGTTTTCATGGCTAAGCAGAGATTTGAACCCTGGTCTCCAGAGTCCTAGTCCATTACACCACACTGGGTATTTCATACATTACTTTTTCTACTGTCCCCTTCCTTAATAGAACCTAGACATACTATATACAGCCCTTCCTCATCAGCTTCTCAGTATTCTGACAAGATAGCTTAGGTGAGAGACAGTAGCTGCCTCAGGGTTACTTAGTGAGTTGTAAAACTGGGGAACAGAACAAGGACTCTGAGGTCTACACTGAACATCTTAAGTCATTACTTAAATTTTAAAAAGAGTGACTCTACCCTAGCCTTGTTCTGTCTGCAGTACGATTTGTGTCCTGAGTTCTTGCCTGAGCCCTCTGCTGCAGAAGAGGATCTGTGACATCACAACACACTTTCTCTATATGTGTAGAATAATTACCAAGTCAGCTTGCAGTGACCCCAGGAAACCAATGCTCTATGACCAGCATTAAGAGGGTTAAAACATATTGCCACTTGAAACATGATGGAATGTGACAAAGGGAGTAGAGTCATCTCAAAAGTGATACACTAGGCTTGAGTTTGAAGGAGATCAAGGAATGACTTACGTGGTACAGCCTTCTTGTAGCATGTTTCTTTGTGGAAACAACATCCTAACGCTGAGCACTCAATTCTCGATACATTTGAATTACATATTTCATAAAAGGGAAGCTCGCATACTTTAGGAAAGAGAAAGAATACCCAAAAACGTATTATCAGAAAAGGCCCAACATTAATTGAAAGAATTAGCTTTTAAACTGATCTAGTCAAATGGATGCAAAATTTTGCTGTAGCATTAGAAACCTTACATTATGAGTGGCATTCAACATTTCTGCAATCTTGAGAGCTTTGAGTACACATGGATGCATCGTTATTCTCACAGAACTAATTTTGGACAGCAGAACAAAAGCATTTCAGAAGATGTAGCTCTCAGGAGGAATGGCAATAGCTTGCAAGTATCATAAGACATCTGAGTAGCTGTTGTGCTGAATATCACTTAGTAGGCAAAAGAAAGGGAAATTGAGCCACTATGAATGGAAGACAATGTGATGCCAGAGAAACTAGTCCTGGCAATGACTTTACCTCTTCTGGCCTGCTAACAGTTCTCAAGTTGGGGGTTCCTCTTAAAGCTTTGGCTATTTAAGAGCTGAAGAACATTCTGTGTTGATGTCTTCATGACTCTTCAGGGATTTTCTTCAATCAAGAACTGCGCAGCAACAGAAAAACAGCAGTGATTCCTGATGCTGTGTGATAATGGAGGAGAGGTCAATGGCTATCAACCATGTTGGTTATAAAGTACATCTAGAACCAGAGGCAAAATACCTCTTGGTAACAGTAGTTGGTATTTGCCTTATTGTTTTTGATGAGTATCTCATCAGCCTCTGAGAACAAAATGCTGAACTAGATAGTCTTTGATCAGACATACTATGTTTTCTGTGTTCTCAGTATCCTTGTACCTGCAAGCTATGCAAATGTGGTCAGTTTTATAGATTACACATGTGTGCCTATATTCTTGTTTCTTCATCCTAACCAAACATAATTAAGGTTCCTGCATAAATCTTTAACATTACTAAATGTTATTGGCATAAGGTTTACTCATGTAAGGGATGTGGTTGCACTGCGGGTTAAACTGCAGAAGCCTCTGTGCTGTAAGATCAGAAGACCAGCAGTCGTAAAATCAATCCACGCAACGGAGCTCCCGTCACTTGTCCCAGCTCCTGCCAACATAGCAGTTTGAAAGCATGTAAAAATGCCAGTAGGTAAATAGATACCACCATGTGGGAAGGTAACGGCATTCCATGTCTAGTCGTGCTGGCCATGTGACCACAGAAACTACCTTTGGACAAACGCTGGCTCTATGGCTTGGAAATGGGGATGAGCACCACACCCTAGAGTTGGACATGACTAGACTAAATGTCAAGGGGAACATTTACTTTTACCGTACTCATGGAATTTATAATTAAGATTACAGAGATCTCTCAAACAACCTATCTTCTCAGTCCAAAATGATCTTGGTCATCAAATGAGTGCCCTTTGTCTTTCAAATGAAGGAACACTGCTGACTGTGGTCCTGAGACTTTGCCCCTCCTGTGCTGGGCAATTCTCCTGTTTTGTGACTGCCAGGTTTCCCCAATGTAAAGCTCCGAACACTCCTCTTTGCCTTGGACCGCATCTATATTGCTCCTGTTGTGTTTTAGTGTTCGGTCTTTTGGGTGGATGGGTTTCTGCCTTAGTGTGTTTGTGGGTTTGAAGTGCACAGTTATGTGGTGTTTATCAAAAATCCTTTTGATCTTTGTAGACACACAGGCCATGTAAGGAATGACAGGTTTTTCCATCAGTTCATTCAACAAGCTTAGCCTCATTCATTACAGATGTATTATCATAGTTACCACCAGAGGGAGCTCTCCAGCAGTTTCTAACATCTGTAAAACTTGGCCAAAAAGTGCAAGTGTCATCTTAATATGAAAGATTGCTCCAAATTATTCTGCTATGTAATAAAATTATTACCATTTAATCAGAAGGTTTTGACAACCTATTTAAAACGACCAAGGAAATGAAATTAGGACTAATGTTCACCTGTTTTTCTAGTTGAGTTAACCTAGGTTCTCCAATTACCAAAGTTGTTATTTTAGATATTGTGGACATTAGATGTGATTAGAGCAATCGGAGATCAGATGCACAAGTGTCTAAAACAATATTTCACAAAATGCTACTCATTTTATCTTTATTTTATTTTCTTGTTAGAACCCAGGTGAAGTTTTTACCAATGCAAAGTTGTCACTCCAGTAGAAGATAAAAAATGACAATGCCTGTAAGTTAAACAGATCGCGAAGTACAAGACTGTGAAAGAGAATGGCTCTCAGAGGAGGCCACTGTTCCCAAACCTGGCATGTACCAGATGTGTTGGGATTGCAGCTCTCATTATTTCCAGTGGGCATAGCCACAGGCCAGGTTGAACAAGTCTAGAACAGACAATACTGTACTGCAATAAATGGACTAATGGTCTGACCCTGTGGACATCTAAAACCGCCTTTGTGTGAGCATTGGAATGGACTAAGTGGATGGACTATATCCATAATCCGAGAGGAGACCAGTTGGCCCATCTTGCATCCATAAAAGCATAAAAACAATTTAGGAGAGGCACAAAAAGTCTTAGTCCTAGACACATAAAAAGCTAAAGCACAACAAACAGCAAAGGAGTGGAGCATACGCATTTGGGCAGGAAGTATGCTGGCTCAGATTTGACACAGGGTTCTCATGATTTAATTATACATTGTCCTAACTGACCCGAGTTCAATTTTTGGAAATCAGATGAGCCTTGTTTTCATATATATTGGGTTTATGAAAATGCATGGAGATACTAATGCATATCTAGTCGAAAGTCTGCATACAGTCATTCAGTTGTTTTCATACATAAATCCTGTGATTCTGAAACCATGTTTCCTAGCAGATCCTCTCTTTTTTTGGAAATGCAAATTGAAGATATCTGTGCAGTGGGGATACAATCCAGATCAGAACTACAGGATACAGTATTATTATTTTTTTTAAAAAGAACATCCTGCTCTGCACTCTAGCACTGACATTCTCAACCTCTTTCTTTCTTTCTCTTTTGGCTACAGCCCTTTTAGGAACCGTTCTCAGGTTTTAGGCCCCCCCCCCCAAAAGGATACAACACAAAGAAATGAAGATGAACTTCCCTTCTCACGTTTTTTTCAGTCTGGGTTCTGTTCAAAATGTGCCAGGGCCTCACAGGGGGGCACACAGCCCCACTGAGAATGGATGACCTAAAGTCCCAATTTGGGCTGGATCTTCACATTAAGAACTGCTTTTTTAAAAAAAAAAAAATCAGGAAGCAGAGATGCAAAACCAGAACAACATGCGGCAGCGGG